GAGCGTCTCAGCCACTCGAAAGCACGGTGGAAACACCGACATCAGCATTAGTCCCTGTAGCAAAAGAAACCCTAATTAATATTTCCAACACAGTAACATCCAGAGGTTTCATCAGGTGGGACCAACTGCAGTAACACTGGTTCCAATGCGTGAGACTGCTTAGACTAAAAGTGGGGGGCACCTCTTTCATCCTAATCTATGTGTATGATTTTACTGCTCAAAGCTGATGCTGAAATCTTTGCTGGCTTTTCACCTCTTAAATGCACAATATTTAGGGGGATGACTGGGGTGGAGGGAGACTTCAGCTGTTTCTGAAGTACCTTAGACACCCAAACCCATGAGAAGAGTTAGCTCCCTCTCAGAAGACCAAGTGCGACCACTCTCTTCTAGATACACCTTGCCTTAGAAAAGGAGGTCAGAAAGACCTATAACATCCATAGCTGGTATTTTTGTAAAACCAGAAGGATAGCAGCTCTTCAGCTGGGACACTGAACAGGTTTTAACCTGGAACCTGACATCCAGAAGGTTTAAAAAAAAAAAAAGTCAAAGGTACCCCTAGTTTTCAGGACTGAGCATGCTTAAAACTTCTGGGTGTAACCAACACCTTTTCTGTAGAGTAATACAAGAAACCCTTAAGTCCTCACATGTTACAAATAATACAAGCTTCCACCCTATGCAGAGACACATGTCACCACCCAAAGGCACATCCCAGGTCTGCGTGGGTGGAAGTGGTTCTGTGGCTGGTTTTTTCCCATGTCTATGGGTACAAATGAAAGAGAAGACAAGGCTGCAGACAGACGTGAAAGCATTTAGTATCAACCAAGAAAGAGGTAAAGAAGAAAGATGTGTGGACCACTGGCCACCTGAAAGAGGCTAGGACATCTGAGCAAAGAAGTCATTTGTTTTGTAATTCAGAGAAATGCAACAGTTTGCTTTGCTTGAGAAAAAAGAAACAGAACACATCAAGGATGACCAAGTCCATCACCCATTTTTCCTGATAGCATCAAGAATTCCCAGGCACCAGACTATTACTAGCCATGCAGAAACCCATTTCCTCAAAAGAGAAGTGAGTTAATGTGTAGTTTGTTATTGTCCTGCCACAAAAGGCGACTCGGAGATACTTATCCCAGGGCTAAATGTGAGTGATTCATGCAGCAGTGTTTATAGCAAGCTATTAAGAACTTCACACCGGCACAAGGGAATCTGGCCAACACTGTGATTTTTGGGGGAGAAGATGCAATGTAAAGGCGTCCCCATGACGCACACAGGCAGAGCAACACCCATATCTCCCCCTTCCCAGATAACAAGTGGAAAAGAGACCAGGGACTCACCTTATCAATGAATGATGCAAATTTGTTGTTGAGAGCCTTAATCTGCTCTTTCTCATCTGATCGCACTCTCTGGAACTCAGGGTCGACTTGTACTTGTATTGGCCTCAGCAGGTTGGTATTGACACGGACCTCCTCGATGCCTCTGCTAACACCAGCCTGCCCAAAACTCTGTCCGGCCCCTTGTTCACCAAAGGCACTTCTACCAAGGCCTCCTCCAAGTACCTCCCTGCCTGAACTTCTTCCACACATGCTACCAACCTGTGCTTCACCACCTTGAAAAGCTCCCACAAAATACCCTCTTCTACCAAAGCCAAGATGTCTCCTACCACCAAATCCCAGGTATCTCCCATACCCTACTCCTTCTCCTCCGTAGCCTCCACCAGTAGAAACATTCCAAAACCCACCAAGGTCGTGGAGACTCCTGCTGCCATAACCATACCCATAACCACGGTATCTTTCTTCTCTATTGTCTTCACAATAGCTTAAGGTAGATGAACTTCTCCCACCACCCAGTGTGCCACAGTAAGCAGAAGAAGAACTGAAATTCCCATCCCCAAATCGGGAGAAACGGTGGCTCATAGCGTCGCTTTCAGAGCGTGAGAGAGCAGGTGGAGAAGGTTGTAAAACAGGAGGAGAAATGAGAGTGAAGGATCCTCAGCCGCTCTTGTGGGGGTGACAGAAGTTCTCCTTTATACGTTCTGGAGGAGTTAGTCCCCATTCCGTGGTAATTAGCAGGTCTGTTAGTGTTGTTATTGGGTTTGGTTCATTAGGCAGCAATTAATGGCCACCTGAAGAGAGGTCAGAGTAAACACCACACACCAATGGAAGAATTGTGAAATTCCCCAAATCCTGCTTGACTCATGAGCTTTGCTCAGATGAGATTTGCTTATCTCATTAGCCTGCCCTCCATCATTAATTACAGTTCGCACAGTTATCCATGCACATTATCATGGTTTGTTCTCAAATTCGCCCACCTCTTTTGGCATTTCATTTCATGAGACGGAAGGCCCTGGTAATTGTCCTCATATTGACTTTGGGGTGGCTCACCTTGCTTCACTGCATCACTAGGAGTACCTACTACAGAAAGCAAAGACTACTGCTCTCTTAGCTTCCCATTCTCTCTTTTCCCTAGTTCCCAGTATAACCACCCATGAGTAGGCATTGCTGCTGCAGGGAGAGGGAAGGTGTTGAGATTTGGTCTTCTTGCTAATGGCATTAAAAAAAAAAATATGCCTTTGGCTCTTACAACTGAAATAGCATTCAGAAAACAGAAAAACTGGAATCTATGTCAATTTTAGCTTTAAACAAATGGATACAGAGTTTTACATGGAAAAGAAAGCTCTGAGATAAATGTTTGGTTTAATTTATTAAAGTTTAACTATTAAAGATTAAGATGAGGTCACCTTAGGGAACAGATGACCCATCACTTCCATACACTAGGACTCTTGGCCCTTCTGCTCTTGGCTACTCCTGCTCTTCCATGTGGAAGTAGTTAGACCACAAACTGAAACCACTTGTTTGTGGGTAGTTGTTTATTTAAAGGCTCCACCACTGGATATCTGAGATATCAAACACGGAGCTGGGCTCCAAGCTTTTCTACCCAGATTCTCCCACTGAGCATCTGCCTGATCCATCCCTTTCCCTCTCCTCATCTCTGTGCAAGATTCCACCTTTCCAGTCTGAGCACACTCCAGTGCAAGACTACTGAGTCCATGAGGCCGTGGACTCGCTAAAAAGCATTTGGAAGCCAACTCCAGCTGCTGACAATGCCACTGAGTCTTCAGCCTTGAGTAACATCTCCAGAAGACAGCTGAGATCTGATACGCTGTCTCCCAAAGCACTGGTAGAATAATTTCCACATGGCAAGCACCTCCTCTTTGTCCCCTACACAACATTAGGGGGAGCAGGGCTTCACCCAAGGGGGATGTTCTTCCTTCCGAAGGTACTGGATAAAGCCACACTGTGAACCCTTTGGTGATATAGAGGTTACGTGGTCAGAGCTTTGTAACCCTTGCTCCGGCTCCATTTGGAAAGTGCCTTGTCGATCCCCTAAATGAAAGGTTTGTAGGGAGAGGTTATTCAACCAGCTGTTATATCTAGAAGTGGACAAGATTTTGCATGCTTAGTGACCAGATGAGGGCTTTTCCCAGAAATAGACACAGTGTTTTCCAGACAACCAGATGAGAAGTACTACTTTTCCCCACCAAACTTTGTCTCTTATGGCCTTACACTGGGAATGGTCAACTGGTAACCCAGACCTTCCATTTGTGCTACTTTTTTGTAATTAAACTTTACTAGTTACCTACATTTTACTGAGAATTTCAACCAAATTTCCCACTGAATTTCCTCTTTTTATATACTTATACAAAAATCTGACTTGGACTGAGAATTCTGTGTCCCACTGGAAAGAATAATTATGGTGAACAGAAAAAAAAAAGTGTATTGACCATGACTGTAAAAGTGAGTGGGGGGAAAATCTGGAAACAGATCCATTTCAACACATCTGGGTAAGATTTGCCAAAGCATTAGGATATTATCCAAAAGTCTTCCCTGTTCTGTTTTAGTTGAGCTCAATATTTTCTAGATGCTGATGCATCTCAAGAGAAGACAACATCAATTGTCCTCCTTCACTCCCATATTTCAGTCAGCCTGAAAGATGCTTTCAGAACCGTATCCACTCCCTGCAAAACTCTTGTGTAGGACAAACTGCGTCTGAAACTCCTGTGCGATTTTGAAGCCATTATTAGGCTCGGGTAAAGATTAGGAGGACAACATGTGACTTCCCATCAGGAGGAGGTGAGACTCCATGGACATGACCCATGATTTTCGTTGTGAGGTCTGACCTAAACATCACTTTTTCTTGCCTTAACTAACGATTCCTCAGCAATATGCACAGGAATTTTTAAAGGGTTGCTGCTGTTCACCTGCCTGTTGAGTCCATGAATGACTACTTTGGGTGCAATTCATCTTCATTCCCACTCTTCATTTTGAGAGTGGCTCATTCCAATGCATGCTGCATCAGGCGATACTCTAGATCATCCACATGGATCTCAGAAGAAAGCGTTATGACCTAGGGGAGGGAACACCCACAGACCAAACAAGCCAGCTCCATGTGGAACAATGGTTAGGGAGATGTCTATCCAAAATCACTGCCCTAAATACATACATCAACACGCTGCGTGAAGCAAACCAGGTGATAATGCATACAGAACCACTGCACTGATCTCTGAGGAAACCGTGTCCTGCTTGAGAAGGCCTCCTCCAAACCCTGCATGAGAAGAGCAGCCAACCTACCCCACGTGCCACATAATCCAGAGCACGGCGTGTAGGCTGCTGTTGTGATCATTGCTGGCACCAGCTCAGCCTTGGCACAGTAGACCAAGCCACACCTGAACCTGTTGAGCTGGCTCCAAAAACAGCAATGCATCCAGAAGGATGTTCATGCATCCTGCAGATCAAGGGTGAGCTTCCTGTGAGACCTTCCTCTTCCCTGCATTGAGTTGGCATCACTCTTGGACATGCCTGGGTAGCTTCTGCTCTGAAGCTTTAAAAGAGACGGCAAAACAGTTCCCAACACACAGGGACCAGAAGGACCAAAGTTTCAACAAACATCCTTACCATGGAGATGGGTTATTACAGAATCTTCCAGGGAATGGAAGTCTTCAGGGGCTATTCACATGGCCACATGGTCAACCTAGCTCTTTGCTGTTGGGGATTTTAAAGATAGATTTAAATTGCATCCCAAAAGTTATTCATGTAAAATTGACTAGTTGGACTTCTTGCACAGCTGTCAGAGCAAGCACAGAACATCTGTGTGTTATTTCTCCCACCCAGAACAGTCCATGAAGCAGGTGGTGATGTTCCTCCCATCCGGAGAAGCCTCTGAGACAGGTGACATGACGTGCCCTTCTGGATGGTCTCATTTCCCTAGGTGGACCATAAGGGAACCTCGGGACCTCACTCAGCTCTTGACTTTCAGTAACGCGAGTTGAGCCATCCTCCGTCAGACCCACGTCACAGAGACTGCACCAAAGATTGGCATTTTCAAACCACAAATTCACAAACAGACCCAAGCTTTAGCTCTTTGAGCACAACTGATGCAGTAACCTGCCAGCTTCCACAACCCACATCCATCTCTGTCCACCTCCAGTCATCCCAAACAATAAATGGGAATAATAAATTCTAGTACTTAGACTAACACTCAAGGAAATGCCTCTTCATTCTTGCAGAACCATTTTAATCAGCTCAAAATAGAAAGCCTAAAACGACTAAAATCCTGCAGATGTCTTAGAAGAAAGACCTAGCTACTTTTCATCACTGCTGAACATAAACTAGTGATCTTGGCAGAGCAGAGGGTAGGTAAATAAGTACATTACTGTACTTAATCCTATTCAGTAACTACTGCATACCAGTGCCGTGGACACTCAGCAGTGTGGTACAGTAGTACATTAATAAATACAGTACTTAGCTGTCCAGATAAAGTAGACACACACACAGAGGATTGAACTAGTAGATCTTGATCACTAGTTGCCTAAATACCTGCATAAGTAGGGCCCTAAGTCACTTAGAAAATGGGGCTGCAATCACATAGACACACTAATAAAAATGCCTTTCATACCACAGACTTTCATTTTCTCCCACCTTCCATCACACGAACTGACAAGAAACTTTTTCTGTGGCCAATGCAGGTGGTAAGAGATTCTGAGGAGAGAACAAAAGGAAGAGAAGTGTCAAAAAAACTTGTAATGGCAGGAAAAAAATGACATGCCGGTATTCTACCAAAGGTTTATACTACTTTAATTCGGAGTTTCCCCAGCTTGGAGAGCACCTTGCCTGACCTACATCTAGGTGGGACTGAAAGTTGCTATTAGACCACAGAAAAAAAAAAGACCTATATAAACCCATGTTCAGAATTACATGAGTTGTCAACCCTTCATAGTAAAACAGTGAAGCTTCCTGACAAGGAACCTATAATTAGAGGAGGTCTGGGAAGCCCCCAAGATGAGGGGGATCTCTCCTGCATAGACTGATATACGTGGGTACTGAGTTCAGCTGGTTGGGAGTGGGTTCCTGGGGGAAAATATTCTTTTATCTTTGGTAAACAGAAGCGTTTTGTGGAAGTGCTGTGGTTGGATCGCACAGAACCAGGGTGGAGGCTGGGATTGACAGTGAGGGGGCAGAGCCAGCCACTCCAAACAACATGAGCTCAATGGATAGATAAGGAGGAACTTGGCACAGTACCCATCACT